TAGTGGCTGCTCGAGAGAACGAACTTGCTCATTGGGAGAAGAGGATTGAGGGGAATAGACAGGATATTCAGGAAAGGGAGGAGAAACTCCGTACTCTACGACAGCAGTTTGAAGATCTTAAGAATAAAGAGGTAATGTTAATCCTTAGAAGGTGTTTGTCTTTTGAATACTGCGGTCGCTGAATTTCGGGAGAGGCCTATGAGGTTCGCGAACGAATATTCATGGGGTTTCTCTAACTGCTGGATCGAATGGTCTATGGGTCTTTATCTGCTTGACTGCATAGCTCAGTCGGTAGAGTGTCAGGTTGTCAACCTTGTGGTCGTGAGTTCGAATTCTATGCGGAGTGTTTTTATGGATTGTACACGTAGGTTGAGCTCGCTACTCTGAAAATAAAAGCTGAAATGGAAACTGATCGGAGAGCTTTAATTGAGCAGCAAAATGAAGTCGACAAATTGAGAGCTTGTCTGGAAACGGAGGAGGTACTCTAGAGAAATACCCATTCGGGAATATCACCTATTCTGTCGAGGGAGGAAGTGAGAAATGGCTGAGGTAGGTTCGTCTTGGGACAGTACACAACACGCATCTGAGTACGGGGCAGCAGCTCTTGACCGCCGAGCGGGAAAGGGACGCCCTCGCGGTTCAAGTAGAGCAGTTGCAGAAATCACTTGCAGAAGCTCGGAGACAGAGTCGGCTGTTGGAGGTGGTGATATCGAGACAACAGCAGATTTATGAGCTTTATTGCAGGCTACGATCGAGAATGATCGAAGGGCTGTTGAAAAGGTGGAGCACGAGCTGTCGTTGACGAAAATCAGACTCGAGAAGAGCAACGAGCAGCACGCTGAGGTGACGGCGATGCGGCGTCGGGCTTCAAACGAGAGAGTGTTGGGGTCAGTTCGATCGCTTGAGAAAACGAGAGGTCGAACTTGAGAGGCGCGAGATTTCTGCGAAGGATCGGCTTTTAAGGGAGCTAGAATCAGAACGAGAATCTTTCAAGGAGAAGTTGAGAGGGGGTAGGCCTCGTTAACACTTTGATGTCGGCAAGGGAGCCGACTGTGTCTGGTTCTATCCTAATTGAGAGTACTTAGTCGCCGCCGGCATCCTTCGGCCGGTGTCTTATCGCCATACGTACGTGAGGTTGCTTAAAACTCAGCTACCTATGTACGTATTGTTAGCGTCTATACGTTAAATGTGTCTTATCGCTACTGTTTCAGTGGAGGAGCGTGAAGCTGAGCTGCAGTCGAAGGCTCATGAGATGAAGTACCAAGTCGCTGCAGTAGAGGAATGGAGGAAACAGCTTGCAGCGGAGAAGCAACGAGAGGTGTGATATGTGTGGTGGATGACGAGCACTCTCTTGTGGATAAAGGGTGAGAGGTAGGCTGGGATGTGATCAGGTGGAGTCGGCTCGTGCTAAGCTGAGAGCCGAAGCGGAGGCTGAGAAGCGGCAGGCGAGGGAGAGTTTGGAGGAGGTCCAGAGGGAAAAGGCTAAGCTCGAGGCCTGGAAGGTAGTGTGAGGCATCATCACTGTTGGAGGAGGTGCTGGTTCAGGCTCGTCTACAGAGTGTCCAAACGGCTCAGCTAGCGGCTAATGATCACTTGGCTCAGGCGGAGGAGGAAAGGCAAGCTATGCTGGATAGGGTAATGCATCTCGAATGAATTTGTGGACTATCTCCTCGTAATGTGTGAGAAACAGTCAATGAGCGACAGTTTGCCGCACACCGACTGTCAGTGTCCGCTTACTCAGATAGATATGCTCGAGCTACAGCTACGCATAGAGAGGGGGCGAGGGTCGCTACCAGAGGAAGTTCATCGTGTTGCGTACTCGGAGTCGATCAGCTGGTCTGGTACTCCGCCGATCGAGGCAACATCGAAGTTGAGAGGGGAGAGGGGCTCGGATGGAGTTGTTGGGACGGGTGGCGGAGCCTCGCGTACGGACAGATCCCACTGAGTGAGGAACTCGTCTGCGGTGTGTATCATCCTTCAATCGAATAGGTGGTTCAGATGCCAAACAGCGTGAGGGAGG